TGTTTTTAAAAGTTTAAATGGTCTTGCTCCATCCTACCTCTCTGAGCTGCTTCACCCATGCTCCAAGAGTGTGGAACGATCTCCCTCTTCTCATCAGACAAGCCCCTTCACTGTCCAGTTTTAAAACTCTTTTAAAAACACATTTTTACTCCCTGGCTTTTAGCACACACTGAATTTACTCTGCACAGTTTTTATTACTTTTATTGATCTTAATGTTTTAACAACTGTTTTTATGTGTTTAAATGTTCTTGATTTTATATGTACAGCACTTTGTGGCAGCTGTGGTTGTTTTAAAGGGCTTTATAAATAAAGTATTATTATTATTATTATTATTATTATTATCTATGTCTACAAACCTGTATGGTCCCACAGCTCTGGAAAGACTCAGTCATTGTTCCAATACCAAAAATCAAGACTGCTCAGTCCCTGAACGACTTCAGGCCTGTTGCCCTGACTTCTTTAGTTATGAAGTCATTCGAAAAACTGATTCGGAAGACCCTCTTGTCAAAAGTTGAAGATCATTTGGACCCACATCAATTTGCTTATCGTTCACATAGAGGAGTGGAAGACGCAACAGGAACTCTTTTAAATATGGTTTTAGGACACCTTTGACATGGTTCTTTTTTTGTTTTCCTGCACCTCTGTTCCCCATGTCATCATCCACAGCTGATCCTTATTCTAAATCACCCCAGGTGCTCCTCATTGTCTCATTAGTGTCAGTATTTAGACTGTGTGTTTTCACTCCTTTGGTATCTGGGCTATATCCTTCCACGGTGTTATGGTCTGTGTCAGCTCCACCTATTGTATTCTATTCGAAGTAAGTTTTGCTGCCCCGTCAGCATTTTGTTTTGTTCAATAAATTATTAGTTATTGTTCACTATCAAGTCCTCTGGTTTTTTCCTGCACGTGGGTTCAAACCATTAAACTGCAGAACATGACAGAAAGCCCAGATCATAAAGAACCCAGCAGGAAAATTGACATTTTTAAATGGCTCTCCCGTGAGGCGGACAAAACTGCCGAGCGGGAGAAGGAGAAGAAGGAGCGAGAGGAGGCGAAGCCCATCATCCGATGGGGTGGCTGTCAGCTGGATGAGTCCAGACCTGCCCGGAGACGAAACACTCACAGCTGCGAGGTGGAAGTCCTTCCATCTCCGCTCCTGGTAGAGGAGGAAGAGAAGTGGACATCCCAGTTCTACGGAACGCGTCTGGCCATTAAGCCTGTGCGCTGCTCTCCACCGCCGCATTCCTCTCCACACCTTCGCCATTTTTCTGCCACCTGTTCAGGAGAGAATCCTGAGTCGAAGGAGTTCCAGCTTGTTCCTGGTCCTGACTCACGCCGCCATGGCAGGAGGTCCAGACGGCAGAACCAGAATGGATCCACCGACCTGCAGCTCCTCCATCCACCTTCCAAGACGCACCAGGGTGAGAGGGGGAGAATTTTGCTGGTGGAGGGGCACCTGAGCCCTCACTTGCCAGAATGGCGATCGGGCTCTCATCCAGCTGAAGGGTCACCTCAAATAAATGAGCAGCCGAACCCCCGCACCTGTGTGTCTGTGGCTTGTGGGGAGGACGGTCCCCGCACCTGTGTGTCTGTAGCTTGTGGGGAGGACGGCCCCCGCACCTGCGTGTCTGTAGCTTGTGGGGAAGACAGCCCCCACACCTGTGTTTCAGTGGGGGTTGGAGATTACTTTGTCTGCCCTGCACCACTGGCTGTGGACTCACTAGACTTGCTGGTTTCCACACCAGCACCGGCCACACTGATTTTCACACCAGCTGTCACTTCTGGGGTTTCCACGCCTACTGCAGCTCCACAGGGCCCCACGTCGCCTGCTGCAGCTCTACAGGGCCCCACGTTGACGGCTGTCACTCCACGAGCTTCCACTCCGACTACGGCCCCCGTAGGTCCCAAGCCTCTTCTGGGTCCCAAGCCTCTTCTGGGCCCCAAGCCTCCAGTGGGCCCCAAGCCTCCAGTGGGCCCCAAGCCTCCATCACCTGTTGCTGTAGGCCAGTCTCCGGTCCCTGGTTCTCCTGCTGCAGTCCCGTCTCCCGTTCCTGGTTCTCCTGCTGCAGTCCTGACTCCACCATCACCACCTGCTGCAGCTCTGGTTCCTGTCCCTGACTCGCTGGCAGCAGCTCGGAACAAATTTCCTGATGCAGCCCCGGTCTCTGATTCTCCTGCTGCAGCCCCTGAGGTTTCCACGCCTCAGCCTGCTGGTCCCCGGTCTGCAGAGGGTTCCATGACCGGACCTGAATCTGCCACAGAAGGTCTCAAGTCTGCTGCAGTTCTTGAGTGTTCCACACCTCCTGAGTGTCCCATGCCTCTCGAGGACCCCACGCCACATGAAGCTTCCAAGCTGTTTCCCACACTGCATGCAGCTCCTGAGGTGGTGTCTACTCCTGCTTCAGGGTCTCCGGGCCCCTCGCCTGCTGCAGGGTCACCGGTTTCATCACCTCTCTCCGGTCTGACTCAAGGAGGGTCCAGGCGCACTCCACCCATAAGAGGAAATGGACGACCATCTGACCGGTTACCTGGACACCTGCCTCACCCTGGATGGTCCCCTGGCCATCCACCTGGACTCTTGGGCATGGGTGCTTTTCCCCCTTTTTCAGTTTTCCCAGGTCCCTTCCTGTCGGCTTTTCTTTTTCTCTCATCCTTGGGGTTTTTTCTTCTTGTGCCCTCCATCCTGTCTCCTCCCCACTACCTCCCTAGTTATGTGGGGGCACCGTTTTGGGGGTGTCAGGTGCCACCCTTGGGGGGGTTATGACATGGTTCTGTTTTTGTTTTCCTGCACCTCTGTTCCCCATGTCATCATCCACAGCTGATCCTTATTCTAAATCACCCCAGGTGCTCCTCATTGTCTCATTAGTGTCAGTATTTAGACTGTGTGTTTTCACTCCTTTGGTATCTGGGCTTTATCCTTCCACGGTGTTATGGTCTGTGTCAGCTCCACCTATTGTATTCTATTCGAAGTAAGTTTTGCTGCCCCGTCAGCATTTTGTTTTGTTCAATAAATTATTAGTTATTGTTCATTATCAAGTCCTCCTGTTTTTTTCCTGCACATGGGTTCAAACCATTAAACTGCAGAACATGACAACCTTGAAGGTATAAAAACCTTTGTAAGATTGCTTTTTATTGACTTTTCATCTGCTTTTAACTGTATTCAACCCCACATTTTAGCAGAGAAATTACAATGTCTGTATCATCTTGACTCCGGCCTCATATGTTGGCTTGTGGACTTTTTAACTGTTCGGTCTCAGCGGGTGAGGGTTAATGGGGGTCCTCTCTGATATCCTTCTGTCCTCTACTGGTTCCCCTCAGGGCTGTGTTCTTTCGTCTCTATTATTTATTTTATACACAAATGATTGTCGCAGCCATTTCCCTCAGTGTCACATTGTAGCTTGCTGATGACTCTGTCATCCTGTCCCTTCTGAGCAGTGATGACCCAGACCCTGGGCCTGTGATTGGGGACTTCACAGAATGGTGTGAGTCTTCCTTTTTAAAGCTAAATGTTTCTAAGACAAAGGAGATGGTCATTGATTTCAGAAAAAAATCTTCAGTTGCAGCTCCTGTGGTCGTTAACGGTGAAGCTGTGGAGAAGGTGCAACAATATAAATACCTAGGAACTGTTCTTGATGATAAACTGACCTTTGACCTCCACGTGAACACACTTTGTAAAAAGGCCCACCAAAGGATGTATTTTTATCGGAAGCTTTGTGGTTTTAATGTTGATTCAACTTTTATGAGAATGTTTTATTCATGTTTTATTTAGTCTATTTTAACCTTTACCTTCATCTGTTGGTTTGGACTTTTGACATGTAAGAACAGGAGCAAACTCTTGGGGATTGTCAGGATGTGCAGCAAAACTACTGGCATAGACCTATGGAACATCGCTGACCTACACAAGGTGAGGTCAGTGAATAAGGCCAGGCAGATTCTGGCAGATCCTGATCACCCACTCCATGATGAGTTCAGGTTGCTTCCATCTGGACGCAGGTTTCTGCAGCCCAGATGTAGAACAAACAGATTGAAAAACTCATTCATCCCTGTAGCAATCAGGTTTCTCAATGAACACTAATTTTAATACTGTTACTTTAATGTCTTAATGTCTTGTGTATATATATATGTATGCGTATGTGTATATGTGTATGTGTGTGTATGTGCATGTGTGTGTATATGTGCACATCTACTGACTGTGATACTAATTGCCCCTTGGGGATAATAGAGATACTTGAACTTGAACAAACTACAGTAGCTTTGTCTAAGACACTAATATAAATTAATGTAACAAAGAAAAAGATTGTTTTTATGCCCTAGATTTACTGAACAAACACTTATACATCAGAGCTAAACTGTCCCTCTGTGCAGATATGTTTTGCCATTTAAAAAGTCAAAGGCCTGTCTGTTAGCAAAACATCAGATGAACCACCAAACAGAAATTTAAACTTGCAGAAAATTATTGCATTTACAGATCCAGCTAATTAACATTTGAAGCACAACCATCTCAAGATGGCCACCACAGCTAACTGAACATGAAATATAAAAATGACAATAATTCTGTAAATTTTACACATACTGGGCTAAAAATGTGGTGTGATAGTAGGTGAGAGTCTGTATCACACACTTTGTGAGTTACACCTCACAATATGGCATGAGACGGAGCAGAATGTTATCTTCAAGGTTGGACCAAAACAGCTGTAATTTATCTTCATACAATAAGAACATGAGTCCAAGACTAGGATGAAAGGCAGCATTCTATTTTTTTTCTCTTGAAAACAAACAGTCAGTAAAGAACTTACTGATGATTGTGAATGTCTTTAATAAAATCAGTGAACAATCTGAGGAGCTGCTGCTCTAATTTAGCCCTGCTGCTGGACTTTCAGGCTTGAAAAGGCTGATATATTCTAAAAACTATGTGCAGATACTGACAATGCTAACCACATTCATTTACATTTACATACATGCACAAACACAATTAAATTGTAATAATTTATGTTTTTTACCTGTTTCTCAAACTGGCCATAGTCTGGACCCTGGTCCGGCTGGAAGAAACTTATTTCTCCATGATTCTTTGCCATTTCGATCAAGCCCATAGCGGTCCTTACCGTGGCATTGCGAGCATGCACGAACACCATGACCTGCCACATAAAGACACAGGCTAAAGTGGATTCATGCATCAACAAATTTCCCATTTCAAATAGCGGTAATCACAACCAACAGAGCCTGGCTGAAATGTGACAGCTGCAGAATCCAAACCTGTCTGAAGAGAAACAGAGCACGAGATTTACACCAGCTTGTCTAGTGTCAATTTTACAATAGACCAAAACCAGCTTACAAAGTAAACATTATTACAAAATCCAAAAAAGTTCAATCTGGTCCTCTGGACATTCAAAAAAAACAAAAAACAAAACAAAGCAAAAAAATATAGAAACGTTTCGTCTCTCACACCTTGTTTGTCACTCTTTCAAGGATGAAGATGTTCACATCCTGGATAGAGAGGAACAATGGTTTGAGAGGAGTAAAGGAGGCCATCTTTGTGAAAAGAAATCGTCCATCGTTATCAACAGGGGTGGAGGCCTACGTGTTCAACTGTCCCCCTCTTACAATGCTGTGATTGCTAGTATCACTCAGCCCTCTGTGAACAGTAAACAGCCATCAGGTGCTAATGATCCATTGTTAGGCTGATGGTCCTTCTTGTGCATGTGAGCAGCTGGTTTTGGTTGTCAGCAGCAAACTGGTTGATCCACTCTGAGAAGGTGCTATTTAAGAGACTGAGCTGAATACAGCACCTCAGAATGAGGAAGTCTCTCGGATGAGAGAAGAAACGTTTCTATATATATATATATATTTTAGTGGATCCGGCCATGGACACCAAGCTCCGAGTCCCGAGGTCATACAACCCCCCAACAAAAGCCCGACAGAGCCAGGGCCCCCAGGCCCCCTTAGGCAGCCACCGGGGGGGGCACACCCCACCACCCAGCCCCAGCCGCTGAGAGCCGCCAATGCACTGGCGGCAGGGGAGCCCACCACCGGAGTGAAGCACGACCCACCAAATGGGGGGCCAAAACTGATCCAAGAGAGAGGGGGCACCCAAAACCCAACCTGAGACAAACAGGCACACAGAGACAGCCCGACAGAGCCTCTGTTGGGCCGTCAATGCGTCCCACCTGCCCAACAGTGACCGCAAGCCAGCTCCAGGCCAGGGGCCAGAGCAGCAGGGAGCAGCAGCTGAGGAAGGCCGGCCCAGCACACCAATGCATCCCTAAAGGCCCACACCATAGGCCCGGAGAAGCCCCGACATGCCACCCAAGCACCCCCCCCCACACACACACACACACAGCACCCCGCCCTATGAATGTCACATCAGGCTGACCAGCCAGCACTCCGTCGAAGTGCAGCCACGCCCTCGACCGCCGCCACGCACTACCAACGACCACACACACACAACCACAGCCGACCTCCCACCAGAACCCAGCAGCCACCCCAGCCGAAGGGCTGGCCATCGCAACCAGGAACCCTGATCAAAGGGTCCAAACAATCCAGGGAGAACCGGAGCACCAACCCCACCCCCCAACCCCCCCCCAAGCCCCCAACCCCCACCCCCCAGCCCCCAACCTGGCAGCCTACCCCCCCCCCCACCCCCCGAACCCAAATGTCAGACGGAGAATGAGGGTTTAAGGAAAACTGTGGAAGACCCAACTCCTCCCTCCCCCCACTCAAATAAGATATTGATGCATGTTGTTATATAGTGCATTTAAAATGGGGGGATGAGGCGGCGACTGGCACAAACCCACCCCCTTCCCAGAGGGCAAGCAGTGCCCGTTCACCTCCCCAACCCTTGTCCAGAACCCTAAATGTCTACATTCTACATATGAGAGTGGGCACAGGTCCCTGAGGTGAGAATGATTACACATCCCACCCCCTATATGCCACCGTGTGCCCACTCCAGACCTTATATATGCATGTGTTGTGAGAATGTTATATGAGAGTGTCTAGGTTGTTTGATAAAATTGGGGCCCAGGTCTCCACGAACCACAGAGATGGAGGATCCTCCCCGCAGCTCAGTAGTGCACCTGAACCCCAAGGCCCTGCTTGAGTGGTGGTGTGATGGAGTGGGTGGAGGAAAATGTCAGGATGGGGAGGAACAACTGAGGTGGCAATGCCCTCCCAGGGGGCCAGCTCCCCCACTGACCCCAATAGGCACCCCCATTCTCCGAGATCCACCAGGGGAGGGAGGCTCCAGTGCATCCATCCAGGAGCAGGAGGCAGCCGCACCACCAGGAACCCAGGCCACGGACTGGCACATAGCCCCGAGGACCGACCAAAACCTGGGCCAGCAACCCAAGCACCCCCCCCCCGAGAAGGGGTTCTCTGCAGACCAAAAGTGGGCGTTTCTGGCGAATAGGCGTTTATGGGCGGCGAACACTGATTGGCTAACAGTATTTAATAGGCGTTTGTCGGCGGCGAACACTGATTGGCTGTGGGTAACCCTTAAAGTCACGAGGATTATTGATGAGGTAATGTTTCTTTGCAATGTTTGACAAAGAAATATGGTTTATTGTACTTATAAAGCATGTTATGTTTTCACTTATGCATTTTATTGAAGTACGTTTATTGTAGGTCACGATAGTTTCGACCGTTCTCTCGTTGTTGTCGTAACGCACTGAGGTAAAGTGAGCCTCCACAGCAGCTCTCACTGTGCACGTTTACAACAACTGGGTGTTGCTTTTCAAAATAAAAGCTGAAAATAAAAGTTCTTAATACTTGAAAAATAAATATTTAAAAGCTGAGTATAACTGAAAAATATGAAAAACAAATAAATAAAAGTTGTTATTAGATGAAAAATAAATAAATAAAAGCTGTTAATTATATCTATGTCTTTCTGCCATGTCAGGGACCACTCTCACTTCAGGTTGACTCTAGAAGACCCCAAGATGTTGCCCAACAATGTTGACCAACATCTGATGTTGACTTTCAAAATAAATCACCTCCAAAGTTTAACATAGTTCATAGTAATAGTCAAATAGTGCGGTGGAAGTGGTCTCCAGCTACAAGTACTTGGGTGTACACATGAATGACAACCTCAGCTGGAGCAACAACACCACCAGCCTGATCAAGAAAGCTCATCAGAGACTCTACTTCCTCAGACGGCTGAGGCGAGCTGGTCTGGGAAGCTCAGTCCTCACCTCCTTCTACAGGTGTGCAGTAGAGAGCATCCTGTGCTCCAGCATCAATGTGTGGCATGGAGGCTGCACAGCTGCAGAAAGAAAAGCTTTGCAGAGAGTGGTGAAGGCTGCACAGAAATCTGTTGGAATCAGTCTCCCCACCATCACAGACATCTACACCTCCAGATGCAGGAAGAGGGCCACCTGCATCATGAAGGACCCCACCCACCCAGCACACACACTTTTTGCCCCACTCCCCTCAGGAAGGAGGTTAAGGAGCATTAAGTGTAGAACCACTAGACTGAGGAACAGCTTCTACCCTGAGGCTGTTAGACTCATGAATCTCTAACTAGAATAATCACTGTGAAAAACCATATCATGTTGCTGCTGATCTGTTTCATGTTGCTGCTGATCTGTTTCAATGTTGATGTGTTCATGCGTGCACATCTGCTCACAGACTCATGTTCATGTTTGTGCTGATGTTCAATGTTTTATGTTATGAGTGCTTAGTGTATATTTAGTTGATGTTTTTCTTAGTTCATATCTTAGATGTTATTACTGTTTTTCTTATAGATTTTATTGTCGGATGTAACTGGGACCTTGTGTACATAATTTCGCTCCACCACATGTACCACATGAGGTGCGAATGACAATAAAGAAACTCTGACTCTGACTCTGACTCTGAAAAGTTGCTGACCTTGTTGCAACATGAGTTAACACAAACATGAGTGTAAATTGTCAATGATTCAATAATGAGTAATAACTTATTCAATAAAAAGTCTGTAATTTGTCAATAATAGTCAATAATTCATTCAAGAATAGATTATGGGTGTTTGGTATGGCTCAGTGGCTAAAATGGGTTGGATGTTAGAGAAATTACTTAATTTTAAATTACCTGAATGTACAAATTCCTTCATTTATAGTTAAACTTTAGGAAATCAACTTTTTTTTCCTTGTGAAAAAAATATCAAAATTAACTTTAAAATCTAATCCAGGATTAAGTAACAACTAGCAACACCCTAACTGTACTATGTTCTGTGTTTCCAACAGATGCTATGACGACTTCTAAAAATGGATGTCCCAATAAACACATTAAAAAATTCAATGATGCATCAAATGTTGTCTGAGTATGTTTGAAGGTAATAACAAATGTGAAATCTGGAAAACAAAGAGAATTCCTGAATCTGTCTTGTGTGCGGGCAGCACGGTGGCGCAACTGGTAGAGCTGCTGCCTCTCAGTGAGCAGGTCCTTGGTTCAAACCCGGGTCCAGGGGCCTTTCTGGGTGGAGTTTGCATGTTCTCTCCGTGCATGCGTGGGTTTTCTCCGGGTACTCCGGTTTCCTCCCACAGACCAAAAACATGCATGTTAGGCTGATTGGTAACTCTAAATTGTCCCTAGGTGTGAGTGAGAGAGTGAATGGTTGTTTGTCTCGTTTGTCTCTATGTGTCCCTGTGATGGACTTGCGACCCGTCCAGGGTGTACCCCGCCCCTCGCACAGTGATTGCTGGACATGGGCACCAGCGACCCCCGTGACCCAAAATGGAATAAACGGGTAAAGATAATGGATGGATGGATGTCTTGTGTGCTTTGATGTACATAAGTTTATTGGAGGTCCTGAAACAACTTTTCTGAGAACACAAAAGATTTTTATTTTACCTTTGGTCAAGATGTCAGTTTGAAATCAGGCTGCTTACTGCAAAACCAAGAGGTTTTTTAAGACGGTCTTCATTTGTATTGTTTTGTCGACTAAGCTAAATGTAATTTCTAAAATATGGATAAATCTGATCTCATCATGCAGCATAAGCAACTGGGTATAGGTGTGAGGGCCAAAAGTCTGGTTATGTACTGACTCCTAAATGTGCTTGTTTTCTACTGAAACATGGAGTAGGTTGACCTTTAAAATGTGAGACAGCTGAGGAAGTTAACCAGTAAACAGAATACCTGCTCCAGTTGCAGAAATCTTACAGAAACT